CAGAGGGGGGGGAAAACAGGAAAGCAGATTGCTATTGCTTAGACAGTCCATTCCCGAGTTTCAACTGCAGGGCAAAGGCAGGTGAAGGGCAAAAAAGCGGCAGCCCTAGCACCCATGCATACGACCCAACGACTTCCTCTGCTCAGCTACACATTGATTCAAGCTGACCGAACAAGGCGCGCGAAGGAGAAAACGTTACATCCCTCTAGCCGGCGGCAGCTGCGTGCTTCACCAAGATCACTGGACTCCCAGCACGAAAGGGGTTAAGTCTCTGAGCTGGCCAGGGAAGTGCACGAGGGAGAAAACGGCACTTCGTGCTCTCAACCAGCAGCTCCAAACCCTGCTAGATGTAGAGTTTGGTGCGAGCCCAGGAGGGTTTCTGCGGAGGATTAAATGCTTCTTATTGCACGTCTGACCCTTTAACTAGACACACAGGCCAAATAAAATATCACAAAGGACATTGCGTAAAGTGGTGCTTGCCAGCTCTTGCACTCACCAAAATTGTCTAACCAACTGACTCGCTGATTAGTACGGCACTCTTGAGAGAGGCAGGCTACAAGGCAATGCAGAAAAATGTCTTTCTATAACCCTCCTCAGTTGCTGCCGGCTTCCCCTCCAGCACAGGTGCAGGAGAAGCGGGCACGGACCATTTCGGTTGCCTGACTCTGGCGTGTCCCGAGGACAAGGCCTTGCGTGAGCCGAGAACCTGGCGGGAGCTGCCTCACCTGATGGTGTTATCTGAAGAGCCGCTCACGACTAGCCTATCTCTGTACTGCAGACAGGCGATGCCGCGCTTGTGGCCGTTCAAGGTGCGCACAAACTCGCAGGTGCTAGTGTTCCAGACCTGAGGTGGGCAGAGCAAACACAGAGGGCATCATTAGTGCGGCGCGGGGCCTGCGTGAGAAATGGCTGCGTCCAGGGTGTTCAAAGTCATCCCACCTTGGAGGTCACAAGTCAAATTCACGACGTCACTGCTGGCGTAGGGGAAAACCACCTTCCCGGTGACGTGTGGCTCCGGCCTTCTGCCACTTGCAGGCTGACTCCTTGTTCTGGAGTGTATTAGGACTTGCGCCCACATTTGACCAAGGCACGTGATGTTTACAAGTGCTTTGGTCAAATCTGAATTGGCTTTCTCCCGAGTTTTAGTATCACCAATTCTGATGTTGTCAGGCATCTGGCAATTCTTCTTCATGAACACAGGATTGGGCCAAAAGAAATCTGACGAGGTTCAACAAAACAAGGGCAGGGTCCTGCACTTGAGATGGAAAATCCCAAGCATTGCTGCAGGCTGGGGACCGACTGGCTAAGCAGCAGTTTGGCAGAAAAGAACCTGGGGACTGCAGTGGATGAGAAGCCGGATATGAGGCTACAAGGATGCCCCGTTGACAAGAAGGCTAATGGCATATTAGGGTGAGTTAGGAGGAGCATTACCAGCAGATCTAGAGAAGTGATTATTCCTCTATTTGGCACGGGTGAGGCCACATCTGGAGTAGTGTGTCCAGTTCTGGGCCCCCCGCTACAGAAAGGATGTGGACACATTGGAGAGGGTCCAGCGGAGGGCAACCAAAATGATTCGGGGGTTGGAGCACATGACCTGCAAGGAGAGGCTGAGGGATTGGGGCTTATTTAGTCTGCAGAAGCGATGAGTGAGGGGGGATTTGAGAGCAGCCTTCGACTTCCTGAAGGGAGGTTCCAAAGAGGCTGGGGGAAGGCTGGTCTCAGTGGGGGCAGATGGCAGAATGAGGAGCAATGGGCTCAAGTCGCAGCGGGGGAGGTCTAGGTTGGACATTAGGAAAAACTATTTCCCTAGGCGGGTGGGGAAGCGCTGGGCTGGGTTCCCTAGGGAGGGGTGGGATCTCCATCCCTAGAGGTGTTTAAGTCCCAGCTGGACACAGCCCTGGCTGGGATGGCTGAGTTGGGGTTGGTCCTGCTTTGGGAGGGGGCTGGACACGGTCACTCCTAGGGTCTCATCCAGCCCTAGGATTTGATGATTCCAACAATGACCAGGGCAGTAAACGAACAGCCTTTGAAATGTCTCACCTTTATGGTCCTGTCACCTGAGGCCGACACAATATACTTGTCATCAAAGTCCACGACGTTGACGGCAGCTCTGTGTCCGACCAGGACCCTCCGCAGGGTGATGTCTGTGGGGGACGCCATGTCCCACACGGCGATGGAGCGGTCTTTGGAACAAGTCACCATCATGCCATTGGCAAAGCGCAGGTGCAGGACGGCCTCGCAGTGGTGAATCAGCGTGTTTAGCATCTCGCCTGTATTGACGTCCCACACCCTGCAATTCACACAGTGTTTCAAACCGACGGGAGGGAGAGAGGGTGACAAATGACACGCGATTGTCCTGCAGGAAAAGAAACATCAGGCCTGTGGCTCTAGGACAAGCAAAGCCCACGGGCTGCCCCTAGATTCTGCTGAATATTCCATTACAAGATACATCATATAAACCAGCTGATGACAAAAATATTAAAGGAGTCCAGCAGCCGAAAAACCCGCAATGCAATTAGCCCCATAAAAACAACACAGCAAAGCGCTTTGTAATTAAGTGACTCTGTAGTGCTGAGGAAAGGTACCAGATTGACTGCCCTGGAGTCTGAAGTCCCCTGCTAGCTCTGCCTGCAGCTCCCTCCATCCCCAAGTTATGGCTTCTACCCAGGTCTGGGGAGACTGCGCGCACGAGGCAAGTTCAGCCCCCCACGGGCCCATTCTTTGCCCTTTCTGCTGGGATTGCCAACCGGGGGGACAATTTTCTGCAGCCGCAGAAGACCAGAGCGTGCTTTCTCTTTGTAAGCAAATCTAAAAGAATCATTACAAAAATTACCCTATTAGGTTAGATCAGGTTCTAAGAGCAGCAAATTATTTACCCTGAACATACACCAGGGATGCTAAAACGTTTCCGGAATTTGTTGACACGGCACACATGAAGAGAGCGTTTTTATGTCAGCGGAGGTACGGTCTATTACGCACAAAGGGTAAGTCGCCGCTAAAAGACGCAGGTACATGCTCAACTCCGAGGCGGTGCATCAGGGCTACTGAAGTTTCAAAACACAGCTCCTTTTGGTGCATTGTTTGCAAAGTTCTTTACCTTCAGGCATAATTCCTTCCAGCAGCTTCCTGCAGCACGTCACACCCTGACCGCCAGCGACACCAAACTCCCGCAGCATAATGGCTGTATTATCAAAGAGCAAATTGAATCCCTCCGCCTCTAACGAAGCTTGCAATTAAACACGGCAGGGATGTGCGGGGAGAGGACGGGCGCTCAGGCTTATGAAATGCCGACAGTTGGTTCATCAGTGACATTAACAATGCCCATTCTGTGCTGTGCGCGCGCGCCCACCATGCCACTTGGATGCAGCGACTCGCAGTCCTAAGACCCCGGAGTTTCTGAGGTGTGCCTGCCACCGGCCGTTAGCCCCTCCGAAAGCACAGCTCTTCCAGGAGGCTCTGGGGGCCCTGCTTGGGTTACAGGGCATGCGGCTCTGAGGATGCCGAATAATTCCTCTGGGACGCTGGCAGGGCAGGTGCAGAGGTCCCCGTGTTTCAGCTGAACGCTGCCACACATGGCTGGAATCAGGCTGGCTCACCCACGTGCTCCTGTTTTTAAACCGGGATTAGAGTTGGGGATGCTTGTGAGTGGCTGCCGGCACTGTAAGGCAGGGCTCGAGTGGAACTGGGAGTCTCTGGGACCGTGTCAGCCAGACAGGAGAGAGACAGGAGCTAGTGCTAAGCGCTGATCTCCCACCCAAGGGGCAGCGTCCTGCCCGCAGGGAAAGTCCATCGACAGCTGATGGGCTTGGTGGGACCACAGAGGACAAAAAGGTTTGTTCCCCGTTCTCCGCAGGGGAGACGAGCCATGCCCCCAGACTCCTCCCATTAGCTGAGCCTGCACTCAGAGCACGTGGCGAGGAAGGAAACGAAACCCCCTAACAAGAAGGAGCCGGATCTCCGCGCTGCTTGGACCCTGGGCATCACCAAGAGGTCTCCTGACCAGCCTGGGCTAGCCCTTCCGGGCATACAGAGCTTGCCGACCATGGACACTCCTCATGTTTTGTGATTTCCAGGGATGCTAGACAGCGTGTAATTGAAGAGTTGTGTAACCAAATGACATTGTAGCAGTTACATGAATATTCGATAGTTCCCGGGGGTGGGGCCGGCAGCCAGAGTGCTCCTGACCCCTTGCCACCTGCACTGCTGCCTAGATATCCGAGGCAGCAGCACAGGGTGGCAAGTGGGAACCAGTCCGTGAGGGGAGTCAGTTTAAAAACCAGCTTCCCACACAGACTGGCTCCACTGTGCAGCAGCACGGGGTGGCAGCAGCCTGTCTGTGGGGAGCACAGACCCCCCCAGACAGGGGCTGTTCCTGCTATGCGGCAGCCTCCTCCCCGTACTACTGCTTCTGATAGAGGCAGCAGCATGGGGGAGGGAGGAACAGGCAGCACCACAGAGCTGATGCTGGGGGGAACCAGCTTTTAAACTGACTTCCTCCCCCCGCCGCCCCAGCACTGGCTCCTGCCTGCCCCATACCCCTGCAGGTACTGGTTCCCTCCTGCTCCCATCATCTACTGCGCTGCTGCCTATCAGAGGTAGCAGTGCGGGGGTGGGAGGGCAGGTGGATCCAGTGCTCATGGTGAGCTGGCTTTTAAGTGGCTCCCCCCCCCACCTCTGATACAGTGGCAATGGGGGGGGGAGGGGAAATGCATGTAGTTGACAAGATTAATCAATAAGCCCAGGTTTATGGGTTAACCGTGTAGTCAACTACACACTGACATCCCTACTAACTTGTGCATCTATATTTAACCTGCTTTAATCTTGTAAATAACTGGTTTCCTTTTCCTACATAATCCAGCTGTAGATAGTTTATTATCTGATTGGCTACCAGTGTAGTCTGAGGGTGTGAGGTGCAAGGTGCCACTGACCAGGGTAAGTGACCGACCCTTTGGGACTGAGAGGTACTCAAATATTTCTATGATTTGTGGCGAAAATCAAAAGTAGGCTCAGTTGGGCAGTGAATTGGATCAGAGCACCCAAGAGGACTGTCTGTGATGCCATATTTAGGCTGTTATAGTGTTATAGAGAAGACTAAGAGGGATATGATCGAGGTCTATAAAATCATGACAGGTGTGGAGAATACAGAAAAATTATTTACTTGCTTCCATAACATAAGAACTAGGGTACGTCTACACTAGCCCCCTAGTTCGAACTACGGAGGGTAATGAGGGCGACCGAAATTGCTAATGAAGTGTGGGATTTAAATATCCCGCGCTTGATTAGCATATTCCCGGCCGGTCGCCATTTTGGAAACTGACTAGCCCGAAGTAACTGCCCGTGTCTACACGCAGCAGAGAAGCGGGATTCTGAGATAAAACCCTTAGTTCGAATTAACTGTTAAAGCTCATTCCACAAGGAGTACCAGTTAATTCGAACTAAGGAGTTTATCTCAGAATCCCACTTCTCTGCCGCGTGTAGACGCGGGCAGTTACTTCGGGCTAGTCAGTTTCCAAAATGGCGACCGGACGGGAATATGCTAATCAAGCACGAGATATCTAAATTCCACACTTCATTAGCAATTCGGTCACCCTCATTAGCCTCCCTAGTTCGAACTAACTAGGGGGCTAGTATAGACGTACCCCTACGGGTCACCACATGAAATGAATAGGTAGCAGGTTTAAAACAAACAAAAGCAAGTTTTTCTTCATGCAATGCACAGTCAACCTGTGGAACTCCTTGCCAGAGGATGTTGTGAAGACCAGGACTTTAACAGGATTAAAAAAATAACTAGATAGATTCACGGAGGTTAGGCCCATCAGTGGCTATTAGCCAGGATGGGTAGGAATGGTGCCACTGGCCTCTGTCTCTCTGGAGGTCGGTGACAGGAGAGGGGTCACGTGATGATTATCTTTTCCATCAGAAGCGCAACATTCCCATCAGTGCATAAAGGTACAGAAACCACACGCCTTCCCACTGCACTGAGGCACAGGCAGGTCTGGCGCGCTCATCGCTGCCTTATCTGAGCCTCCGCTAGAGCCAGGCATCGGTATTACACAGCCCTCCGAGGAAAATCACGTCCTCCCGCCGGAGGACAGCAGCAGAGATCGGAAAAATGCCAGGAAGAGCAAGGCAGCAGGCATATTTTTCAGGGGAGGCCGTTCTCTTGCAGCCCCTGGGGAGCCAGGGGGTGGGTGTGGGGGGTGTGTGTGGGGGTGTGTATATGTGTACCTTCACTCCCACCCATACACAGCCTGTGCTTTGTTATAAAGCGCACAGCTGAGTGGCAGGGGACAGCAGCTACGCACCAGGGCTCAAATGATTCTAAAGCCTCCGACCCAAATGCCGGACGTTGAGCTACTGGCACACATCCGGCTGGTCGAGTCGCTGCCCCCACACCTGGCACAGGGAGAGACCAGGAAGTAGTTCTGCGGAGCCATTGGTTCCAGAAAGGCCCCATTACCAAATCAGCAGCAGGCGGAAAAGGCTGCTAGCCTGCGCAGGAGTTGGAGAGCTGGGGACTTACCTAGGCGGTGGGGCCCTGAGAGGACGCGCAGAAGAAATGTGCAAGTCTCATAGACTCAGACTTTAAGGTGAGAAGGGACCATTATGATCATCTAGTCTGACCCCCTGCACAGTGCAGGCCACAGAATCTCACCCACCTCTCCCAGAATAATCCTCTCACCTATAGCTCAGATATTGAAGCCTTCAAATACTTTGAAGACCCCAAGATGCAGAGAATCCTCCAGCTGTGACCTGTGCCCCATGCTACAGAGGAAGGCAAAAAACCTCCAGGGCCTCTGCCAATCTACCCTGGAGGAAAATTCCTTCCCAACCCCAAATATGGCGATCAGCTAAACCCTGAGCATGTGGGCAAGACTCACCAGCCAGACACCCAGAAAGTTCTCTCTAGTAACTCCTATCATCCCTCCATTGCCCTATTTACTTCTGATAATGAAAGGTCAATTAGTTACCAAGATCATGTTATCAGTGGGAAATATCCCCTTCATAAACCCATCTAGTTTAATCTTGAAGCCAGATAGATCTTTTGCCCCCACTACTTCCCTTGGAAGGCCGTTCCAGAACTTCACTCCTCTAATGGTTAGAAACCTTCGTCTAATCTCAAGTCTAAACTTCCTACTAGCCAGCTTATATCCATTTGTTCTTGTGTCCACATTGGTATTAAGCTTAAATAATTCCTCTCCCTCCCTGGTATTTATCCCTCTAATATATTTAAAGAGTTCAATCATGTCCCCCCTCAGCCTTCTTTTGATTAAGGTAAACAAGCCAAGCTCCTTGAGTCTCCTTTCATAAGACAGGTTTTCCATTCCTCGGATCATCCTAGTGGCCCTTCTTTGTACCTGTTCCAGTTTGAATTCATCCTTCTTAAACATGGGAGACCAGAACTGCACACAGTATTCCAAATGGGGTCTCACCAATGCCTTGTATAATGGCACTAACACCTCCTTATCCCTACTGGAAATACCTCGCCTAATACATCCTAAGACCGTATTAGCCTTTTTCACGGCCATGTCACAATGGCGGCTCCTAGTCATTCTATAATCAACCAGGACTGCGAGGTCCTTCTCCTCCTCCGTTACTTCCAACTGATGTGTCCCCAGCTTATAACTAATCCCTAAATGCAGAACCTTACACTTCTCACTATTACATTTCATCCTATTGCTATCACTCCAATTTACAAGATCATCCAGATCTTCCTGTATGATATCCCGATCTTTCTGAATTGGAAATAGCTCCCAACTTTGTGTCATCCGCAAAGTCCACGGGCACAGCCTGCTTGAGGGGGCCCGTGAGTAAAAGCGGTCCAGCCTGGCCCCTCTGGGGTCGGTGCCCACATCTCTAGGGGGAATGGAGTATTCCAGGCAGGCTGCAGCGTGGCTGACTCCCCAAGGACTGAGAAGTAGAGCCTAACAGATCTGCCTTTTCCTGTCTCCTCCGAGGTGAGCGTAATGCTGCTCCACCCAATCCCAGCCCTGGTTTCCCAATAAGACAGCGGCATGAATTCTGCCTTCATGCAAATGACTCCCAGCGCCGTGAGTCCATCTGCGTCCAAGATGCAGGGGTTGCATTTTAGGTCACCTGCTTATGCCTGGTGGCTTCCAAATGACGTTAGATGACAACAGAGAGGAGCCTGCAGCTACGGGAACAGGAGCATGAGTCCAAATGCTGCAGGAAAGGCAAGAGCCGTAGAGCTGGCCTGCCCCCAACAGGCTGCCTGGAGCTGCACAGTTCATTCTCGGGCAGAAAGAGGGGACCCTCCTACCCATGCTCCCCGACACAGCTCCTCCCCTCTTCCCCAGTTTCCCTCCCCAATCCTGCTGGTGAGTCACTAGCGCATGGGCTGAACATGCACAGATCTTTTATTTCATGCCATGAAACCACCAGTTTTGCTCATTAGGTCCCCTGGGCCACGCCTAGCGGCCTACCCGGCTGGAGAACAGATTCGGACTTGAACAGCCCAGCCTTGCAGTGTGGGTTTGGCCCTGGGCGATGAGAGCGAGGTCACAGCGTGGTAACAAACCATGGAGTTGAAATTTACTGAAGCCACACAAGGAATTCAGCCACGTGTCTTGTGCTACATTTAATGGAAGAGGAGGGGGTAGGACCTCCGTCTGGCTTTGAAAACCTAACCAAGGTCTTTACAAATCACTGCACCCCAGGGGGATGTGCAAACTCTTAATACAAACATTACAAAAGGCCCCCATCCATCTTGGAAATCTTCAGCCCTTTTTTTCTTTTCCATTCCCCTGTGGGAGGCAGCATGATTTGAGTGGGAAACGGATGTTTACATGAGTAGGGCATCTCGCTGGAAAGGTCTGGGAACGCCTCAGTGAAGGAGGTTGCACAGAGAACAATTTAAAAAACTCTTGTCAGCGCCGAGGGGGCAAAGCTCAGATTGGGAAGTACGTACCGGACGGTGGAATCAGAAGATCCAGTAATGATCACCCGCTCGTCATACTGTAGGCACAAGACGGAACCCGTGTGTCCAGTCAGAATTCGCTTGCATTCCAATGTATTCTTATCCCAGATCTAGGGGGCAAACGGTGGCCAAGAGCCTGGTCAGGACACTGTTCGTCTCTATATAAATGGTGCACATTGCTGGGTTGGCGGGATGGGTTTTATTACAGACTGTTTGCGGCCTGAGCTTCCTGAGTAGCACACAATGCACTTCGGTATTCCACAGGCGCTCTGGCGCAATATAAAACATTCTTAATATCTCTGGTTTTAATATGAATACAGGCTCTCCACTTCTCATCAGGGAGCAGGGTAGCCTGTAATTACGGGAGGACCAATAACACTGTGAGCAAAGTCCATTCTGTAAGGAAGCAAAGCGTTTCTTGCCAGGTGGGACAGATTTCGATGCTTTGCTGGGGGAAGGGAGGACCAAAGAAAAACACTCCGGGCTAGGGCAACGTTTCTGAACCCTTTTGACACCACGGACCGGCTTGCTGCCTTCTGAAATTCTGTCAGGGAGAGGGCAGGAGCCGGGGCCCTTCCACAGACTAGTCGCTGAGAGCCCCCGGGGTCAGACACCTTCTAAAAACCTCTCCTCCCACAGGGAAACAAGGGCTCCACTACTGTTTAGACAGCCTGCTTTCTACACCCTAGCGTAGCCTCCTGGGGGACATCTCACCTTGATAGTGTTGTCTCGCAGGCCACTTACTATCTTCTGGTCGTCGTACTGTAAACAATAAACCCCTTTGCTCGTTTCACTCCGGCAGTGGATCCGCTGTAAGCTGTGCCTGCCACACCGCCAGTTGGATTCTATTGTCTTGGGGAAAGGAGCAGAGAAGAGAGAGAAGCAAAAATAAAACAATTAGAGAGAGTCCTGGTCCGCTTCCCAGCCAGGAGGCTCATTAGATGCTACAGTGGTCTCCCAAAGGAAGCGGCAGCAGGAGCGCTATTGCGAGAGCCATTTGTAATGACGGAATACGGGAGAAAGTTGTTGCTCTGGCCATGCTGGGGATGGACAAGCAGACTTAAAAGTTTTTTTCCGGGTCTCACTTTTGTGGACCCTTCAACCAGAGGCAGCTCAGTGACTAAAGGGGAGGGAGATGTGGTCTCCAACTAGATCCAGCTAGAGGGGGACAGGGCCCCTGTCAGAGCGGCTGATCGCTGCTCCTGTAATTAAGAGCTCAATCCCAGACAGGAGTTGGTACCTTGGGCAGAACCATTCACGGGGCAGCGGTGTCGTGTGTGTGACGCCCTTCTGGAGGACGTCCGGGGCTGTCCTCTCCAGCAATGCTCGGGTCTCCCTGATTCAGCTCGGGCACCTCACGGCACTCCCTCACGAGGCCTCATTATTTTGCACATAAAGAGCCGGGAGGGGCCTGGACACTGACCAGCTGCTGCTATGACACTGTGAACTTTTGTGTCAATTCACCCGAATCTGCTGCCTGAAGGGAGGTTCCAAAGAGGCTGGCGAGAGGCTGTTCTCAGTAGTGACGAATGGCAGAACAAGGAGCAATGGTCGCAAGTTACAGTGGGGGAGGTCCAGGTCGGATATTAGGACAAGCTATTTCCCTGGGAGGGTGGGGAGGCGCTGGGCTGGGTTCCCTAGGATGAGGGTGGAATCTCCATCCCTAGAGGTGTTTAAGTCCCGGCTTGACAAAGCCCTGGCTGGGCTGATTGAGTTGGGGTTGGTCCTGCTTTGGGCAGGGGGCTGGACTCGATGACTCTTCCAGCTCTAGGATTCTATGAAATACTCTTGACGGCACATGCCATGTACATTCAGGAAAGGAGTCACGAATCCCCACAATCTTTAGGTGATAACTCCAAAACCTGTGAATTTGGGGCAGACCACATAGAATATATATGGAGATATACCATCTCCTAAAACTGGAAGGGTCATCGAGTCCAGCCCCCTGCACATACAGCAGGACCAAGTACCATCCCTGACAGATTTGCCCCAGATCTCTAGATGACCCCCTCAAGGATTGAACTCACAACCCTGGGATTAGCAGGCCAATGCTCAAACCAATGAGCTATTTCTCCATGTGCCAAACTGCTCCGCTGACCTTTTCACAGCTCAGAACGTTTAAAAAAAAAAAAAAAAGATCACACAAGGAAGCATTTTGTTTCTTACCTCTATATCCTGGATAATTTTTGGATAAAGTGCTCTATAGAAGGAGTTGGGTGGGGCATTCCCATCAGGCGGCTTATTTTTAAATAGATACTGTCCCCTGGAACACAAAGAAACATTCCCAGTTCAACGCAGTCCATGTTTCAGCAGTGTTGAGCAAAGGTTTCTAGGCACTTACTATTGGAGGAGCATGTGGAGGAGACGGAGGAGCATGTGGGTTTGGTGTGCTCGATAAGCTGGGAAATTCCTAGCACCGTGCGACCCGCACTATGACCATACTGTACTCGCAGGCATGTAGGGAACTGCAAATGTGGTACGCACAAAGGGTACGAGTCACTGAGGCCTAGTAAGAAAGTAATTGTGGTTCCTACATCCCCTGGCTTGGGTAGTGTCTGTGTGTGTCACTTTTAAAAGCCAGGGATCAAACCTTCACAATCGCCAAACTGGGGGGGAGGGTCTGCAGGGAAGGCCAGCAAAGGGAGAAACTAAGGAAAGCAGCCTCCCTCCTCAAGTAAGTTACGTGCTCAAGGCTTGAAAGCTGCGTTAGCAGGAGTGACATCTGCTGCGGCACATGGACATTTTACGGCTGCTGCTAGATTTTGGGAAGCAACATTTCATTAGCGGCTCCTTCCTCATTTCAACACAGATTTGGAATACTCATATCCCAAGCTGGATTTTTGCTTCAAAAAAAATCCAGTTAACGGCAATCACGTCCTGCTGTGTAAAGAACTTTAATTCCTCATCCTGAAGTTAAGAAGTCACCAAACACGGTGTGGAAGCTAGTAAACCCCACCATGGGCGTACTAACTGCTGCTTTGCCTGGCAACGTGCCTTGCAAAGTGGAGATAGGCACAAATGCCTCGGAGTGTAATCCTGGCATCGGAGGCATGGCGTTTACATCGGGCCAGCTCTCCGCTCCTCCCTTCCCTTAGCCCATTACAGCATAATTAATTGTTCCAAATCGCCATGTGCCTTGCTCGCCTGTCCCTTCCTCACAGTACACCTTGACAGCCTGCACCTCGGCTAGACGTAGCATGAACAATGAAGCAAGAAGCTACAAAAATCATCTGAAGCTTTTAGTTTACAAGGACAACAAAGTATAGTACTGAACAAGCAGGTGAAAGACACGAGGGGATCCCCACAGATTTGAAGTCTCTAGGAAATCAGTTAAAACTGGGGCAGAGTTGATTTCAGCTCCGTATTTAGGAGTGGGCAGGCTTTTAGAGTAAGCTGTCTCAGGCATTAGCTGCACTGAAATAAGGGGTTTTGTTTCCATTCTCGCTATCCCGGATGCGAGCACATACATACACGCAGGCAGGCGACTGTGCGTACAGGGCTGAGTCACTGCAAAGAGAAGTTGGTCCAGTGTTTGCACACAGAGTTCTTTTAGGAGAGTCAAGATTAAGCACAAGTGCAATGTTTTTAAGACCTCCGGGGCCAGCTCCTGCAATTCTATCTGGGCATGATTCCTACAGAATCAGTTGTGATTGAGCTAAAGAAGTGCTGGGCATTTTCACTGCATCCCTAGTGAGCTCCCATGCAAGAGTTTCTCTTTCCATGCCTCTGGCCAACGGGATACTACATGGGTGCCCCAAAGACAGAGCGTGAGGCACATGGAACGGCGTATTCTCTCTTTATAGGACTGTAACGTATAAGGAACTCAATCAACTCAAGGTCTTGAAGCCTATAAAAAGCCTGTGTATTTTGCTCAGTGTCCAGATTTTACATTTTTGTACAGTAAATTTTCTCTAAATGTCTGTGCCAATCCATGTGACCCAGCTCATCTCTGGCAAATGGTCGGCGTGGCCCTTTGTGGGGCAGAGTCTGGGCTCCCCGGTTGTAAGATACCAGGAAGCAAGTGCTGAAATCAAGTGGCCCATGCACTGGGTTCAGTGAGGAGCTACAAGCGAACACCAGCAGTCATCTGTCATTACGAACTGTCCATCTATGGACGCTCAAAGCACCAATTCCAAGTTACCAAGTGCCATCCGGCAGATCCCTCAGCTAAATCAGACACTGCCTGCCTTTCGGGTTAACCCCCCTCGCCGTCAGAAGGGATTCTCTCTGAGAACACATGCTTGGATAAGTCCATCCTCTGGCAAACTTAAACAAGGCACAGTGCGATCCTGGGGAGCATGATGATGGGGGTGGGGAGGGCGGAACAAGTGAGTATTGCTGACCTTCAGGATGGAAAATTGCATTTTAGATTCGTTTATAAACATGAAACAGCCACATGATCAGCAACGAGCAATGTAAACTTTTAAATCTAGAATGAAATACCAGACTGGAGATAATCGTGAGGTTTCGCTAACATTTCCCCTCGTGTCTGCAGCTAAGACTCACAGAGAGGGAGCACTGAACACGTCTGAGAATCACTACACTCCTGGAAGCAGATTTGCATAGTGTTCACAGGACAGTTCATAATAATGATTTACTTGTCTTGATAAGCAGAGACAAACAGGGCGACAAAATTAACTTCAAAACACAAAAGAATCTTTGCTTGCAACTTTGTATCTTTTTTTCTTTTTAATAGCAACTAAACTGCCTAAGCTGTCACTTTTATCTTGTTTATGAAATATTCATACCCAGCTTTTTTGCAGCCAACATCCTAGGGACACCCTTGGAAAAGAAAATTATGTATTAAAGGGCTTCCCCTAGAGAGGGAAAGTTCTAATGAAGTGTTAACAGAGCAGCTTCAAACTCAAGTGAGACCCTGGTAAGGCTATTCCAGCTGATTATTAACTAATCTATCTGCATTTCTAGCGTCCCCTGCTCTCCGCGGTACCTACCCTCAAGCTTCCAGTTTGAGGATTGCAAAGATGCAGCGAAAAGTCAGTCTGCTGAGGAAACCAGAACCACCAGGCAACACTATTTCATGCCATGTGCTCCAGCTCCCAACCCTAAAAACACCGCTCTGCTCTGAAGTGCTAGGAGCGTCTTGGCCTTCTTAGGTGGCTGCAGCTCCGTAACATGGAACGGGACGAGGGGCTGGCTGTACCGATTCAAACTGTCGTTGCCGAGGTACCGGAGCGCGCTTGAGACGGGCATGGGAAAGCATGCCACAACCGGCTGTAAGACCCAAACGGGCCAAGCCTTGAATCATGCTGTAAACGAGTGTCAAGTCAGAGACAACCGAGGCAGACTCCAAACGTGGCATCATTGCCCACGCCGCCCACTGTCCTAGAGGGGTAAGAAAGCTGAATTTGCAATTCCCTCACCAGCCTCTCCTCTCTGCCAGCCCTCTCCACAGCAAGTCGGTCCTGACCATTCGCTCAATAAGCTTCTTCCACAGCATGCCGTCGGACGTCACCCGGTACCACTCCTTACACACCAGCTCGGCAGCACATAGCGATTTGGCATCCAGGTACGACAGTATGTTCTCAGCAATGTGATCCAGCCCCCGAGCTGGGAAAAAGAAGAGGAGCATTAGTCATCAGGGCACCTAAGACAGGCTAGACAGCGTCCCTTGTCTATTATGGAGATGCCATCTCTGCATTATAAATGTTCATCCAGTCTTCTGTATGGAGAGTGGGACCAAATGAACATAAGAACGGCCGTACTGGGTCAGACCAAAGGTCCCTCTAGTCCAGTATCCTGTCTGCCGACAGTGGCCAGCACCAGATGCCCCAGAGAGGGTGGACTGAAGACAATGCTCAAGCGATTTGTCTCCTGCCATCCCTCTCCAGCCTCTGACAGACAGAGGCCAAGGACACCATTTTATCCCCTGGCTAATAGCCTTTTATGGCCCTAACCTCCATGAAATTATCTAGCTTCTCTTTAAACTCTATTATAGTCCTAGCCTATATAACTCTTATAACTCTATTATAGTCCTAGCCAATGCATGGAAGAATATTTGCTGCTAAGTTCAGGAACTAACAGCGTTTTCCCAACTTGTTTGAGAGAAAAGGCAACAAGACATTAAAAAGAATAAAGGATCCAGGAAGTCATTCCAATCTATTTCGATGGGTTTTAGCACTAGGGGGATATTCTATGGATGGCATTTCCCACTCAGCGATGCAGCCCCCAAAATATCTCTATATTAGGACCATTTCTCATCTTGCTGCTACAGCTGTTCTCGTGTTCCAACGGCTCAAAAGCTGTTTTTGCTAAAGTAGTGGCTTTTAAACATAATGAAGAAAAAAAAAAATATTCCCAATGTGTACCCTGAAGGGCAGTGCTACCTTTAGATACCGGGGAGGGGGGTGGGGGGGAGAATATGTAGTAGA